AGAGTTCAATTTTCTCCAAAAACAGCATCGTTGTGCAAGAGTTTTTGGCTAAAAACTCAACGAACGTTTTCGACCAAGCACCGTACTCGCCTGATATGGCACCGTGTGACTTTTTCCTGTTTCCGAAGCTAAAATTACCACTTCGAGCAAGGCGTTTTGAGTCAATTGAGGCCATAAAAGAAAATTCGCTGAAGGAGCTGAAGGCCATACCTCAATCAGCCTACGAACAATGTATGAAGGATTGGGTCAAGCGCTGGCATAGTTGTATTGCACTCGATGGGGCCTACTTTGAAGGCGACAAAATAAATTTTAATGAATAAATCAATTTTTTGTATTTTATTTAATAATTCCGGGTACTTCTTACACAGAATGTATACCAGTGATGGGCAACTCAGCGCCCGCCAAACTCACTAGCGGGCAACAGTGTGCAGCATGCGGGCATATGGCAGTGATTGGTGAAATGTGTGAATGAGAGCACGTATTTATCATTTTCTTCACACACAAATATATCGTGAATCACGACTCGTGACTCGTGATGTGTCCTGCTTCGCAACCCTTCCACAGGAGTCCGACATCTATCGTATGTCCCCAAGAATGAAAATTTCGACGACAAATGTATGAAACTATTCCATATGTAGTTTTGAACATCGTACGGAAGATTTACAAGTTACAGAAGAGGGAATTATTTTTATTGTTATAAGTCTGAATAATATTTAAGCCATGTTTTACTGAATTCATGCACATATTGTTACAAATATATTGTAAACTCGTATATATATATATATAAGTAGTGTTTAAGGCAATTGTTGTGAAATTTATTCAAATACTATTGTAAATTGTGCATTTTCATCACATTTTTTCAATAAAAAACAGTTAAGTGGTACATGTGTTGTTTATTAAGCCTATCACTACGACTAGCTCATATTTTCCATAAATAAAGAAATAGTAATTGGTAAACTTACTTAAAATTGCATTAAAAGAAATTTTAAGTTTAATTTAGCGCGAAATTTGAATTTGAAAAAACGCGGGAAAACTGCAAAATCAGGAAATTTCTCAAAAAATGGTAGCCATCTGGTGGCGACTTTGCTAACTAAACAAGAAGTTTTAGGTTTAGTTGCAATTTTCGCCACCAAAGTGGTGGGGGCGACACTAAATGTCCCATAAATTCCCAAATTTTTCCGGCGCTTTTTTAAAAGTTTTAGAATGAATTATTTTGTTATTATTTATTATTGGATATTACTTTTTTGGTTAATTGATATTAGGAATAGGAATTGAGATAGTGCGGGATTAATGAATAACGCGTATGTATGGTTTGACTGTTTTTTATTGAAATAATCGTAAAAAGATATACAATTTACAATGATATTTGTATAAACTTAACAACAATTGCCTTAAATACTACTTATATATAGTATATAATAGTTCTTCGTAATAAATTCACAATGATCAGATTATTATCAGCGTTCTATATGTAACTTTCCTCTTAACGCGCAAAAACTTCTTACGTCACGTACAACCACTTCCAATTGATATGGTACATTTATGGTTCTGATATGTGCTACCGTTGAACTAAATAAGTTTTTGTATATGCTAACGTGGAACCAAAACGGATAGTTCCGACTATTATGCTGGAATCGGCCGCTTCGTGCAGCACAAATACTCAGGGGCAATGAATTCCCGGACGTAAGTACTCGCATTTCCTCTCTGATAACACCGATTCGGGACCACGGATCCAATGGAAAGTTCTCACGCTATTGCACCCGTAGATGAAACAGACCTGACCTTGAGCAAATATTTTGGAAATTAATGATCTAGCATATGACATTATGGGTTGCACAATTGAATTCGTACATAAAGCAGACCAAACCTTCGGCTCCAACGGAAAGTTCTCGCGTTATTGCATACGTAGATGAGTCAAATCTGACCTTGAGCGTATAATTTGGAAATTGCTGACGCAGCATACTTACACGTAAATGTTTATGGAGATGTTATTGCGTTTCTCAAACTTGTCCACTTGTTTCAGTGTCATTGTCAGTTGAATTCCACTGGTGCAAAACACGCTTGAATAGTGCGGACATGAGGATATTCGGTTTGTATGTGTACTGACTGGGTAAAGACTCGCAACAACCGATTAAAATAGACACGTGTTATCGTCACAATTTATGTTAACAACAGCTTTTTTAGTCTGTACAGTACGACATGGCGAAACGGAACATCCTGCATGCATAGGTTGGTGTTTATTGACATTTATGAAGATGTGTAATATTTCCATTAAAGCCCATCCGATGAGAGCCGGCCCAGTCCCTGATTCGAATGGGTAGGCGATCTGTCGCGGTGGGCTGTCAGCTGAAGTATGTGGGACTCACCCTGGATAGCCAATGGCGCTTTGTAGCACACATGAACCGCTAGGTCCTCGAGCGGAGGGCGCTACGATCGCATTGGATCCCGAGAAGGGAGCCCGTCGCATATATGCGGCGTTCGTGTGATCCGTGATACTTTACAGAGCACCCATCTGGG